TCACTGTTTGAGTCTGTTGGTCTACATAATGTTCAAACTCAAACCACAGAAATCAGAGGCTATAGGTGAATGAAGCTCTGAGCAAACACATGCTGAAACCAACAGACATTTTGCGTACCATTCCTCTGTTCTTGATTGTTCCTGTCGTCCATAGTCCTCCTGCCTTCCCTCCCCCGCTTCATCCTCCGTCCTTATGTTCATGTTTATGTTCTCTTACATCGTTCCCATCTCCTTCTTCCGTTGACTCTTCGCATGTAACAATCTTTGTGTGTTTCCCTTGTTACTCCATAAATGACACGACAAACAACTCACATTGGAAACGCCCAGCTTCAACCAAAATACCTGCCGATGATAAACCGCAAACTTCACCGATGCCAAAACTTTCATTCTTCGATATGCCGTAAAGGTAACAACAATATAAAACAATGTAACAATTTGGAATGTGGGAGGGTATTTAGCAAGTGATCTTTTTGCATCCCTTTGTCCAGGTTTGAAATGATTGCAACTGTTTGTGATGCAGTGAAAGCAGAGCGGGGGGGTCGAATGCTGATTAATTAGTATTGCATAATCTTGCCTTCATACTCTCCAACACTAGTCTGTCAATGATCTTCAGGTGAAAAGCATTTCTTACAAGTCGCCAAAACGAGCGGTTCGTAGACGACCCCATCCAAAAGCGACGCATCAATCTTAAAGACAGGTATATTCCATTTGGCACACGACTTCCCCCCAAAAATAGACCCTGAACGCTCCAAAACGAGCGTTTCGCCCAAGATGTTCCACAGTTCCACAAGACCACCGCCGCTGCAAACACCAATCCCAGCTGTACATGCACAGCCAATCCTACGTCGCACTTGGAAGTTACATGTCTACACTATTTCACACGAATCTGACACATCATGCATCCATCCAAGACCTCCAAAGGTTTCCAATGGGAAGCTATTCAGAGATCATGCACTCCCTCGACAACGGTTGCAAACAGTTGCGAACAACTGCGCACCGTCACGCGAACACAGCTCTACCCCCCAGACCCTCAATAAAACAAGCCAGCAGGTGTCAGTCTGATCGCGCGCAAGGCCGAATCAAACTCCGGGCAATGAAAACGTTCACTATGGCAATATGAAAACATTCTGGCCACTTCCAGCAGCACCATCGGACCATCGTTTAGGACATTCCGCGAAAAAAATGCGAAAAGGAATGACAAGGACATTGTGTTCCATTCTCGCGTCTGCCCCAGCGTCGACTTTTGCCTTACCTTTTCACCACCTCAGGTAAGTGGCATGTGGTTTTGCTCAACCTGAGCTGAATGTCTTTTCAACATCAAACACATTCACAATGACAGCACTGATTCCATGTCATGGGCAAATTGATTCCATTCAATGCCTTCGACATCGTGCCTTGCATTCCAACATGATTTTGAGAACCCGCGGTTTTGCAACCCCCCCCCTGACCAAAAAGTCAGAGATGCCTATAGTTTCAGAGATCCAATTCGCTCTTCGGCATGGGGATTTCATCCATCCCGCATGCAGCGGTTTCTGCGGACCCAGGTGCTGTTTCTGCAAACGCTCTCTGCGTTAGACGACCGGAACTCCGGATGTCTGAGGTGTGAGACGAAGAAAACATGCGCTATGAGTGTGTGAAACGACAAGGAGACGCGCCGAGTTATGAAGTGAAACCATGAAACCGGAGTTTCTTTGAGACATGAAACATCATGAGACAAAGTGCCAATCAGGAGTTCACGTTAACAAAGTGGCAATCAGTTAACATTACCATATTTTCTTTTGAGACTGTCACTAAGGTTGTTTGTTGTTTGTAAATGTTTTTAATGATGTTTCCAGCATCACCGATCGCCCGGCTGCCTGAGAGAAGCGTCGTCAACGTGAGGCTGCAGGCTGCAGACCTCGGAACACAAGCACAGAGAGGAAGTAGCAGCTAGCAAAAGTCATGCCTCAATTGACTCAATTGGATCAAAAAATGAAGACATCATGCAGCAAACCCTGTCATATCGTGTCATCCTACACAGAATGGGAAGAACGCCCATCGCAGTGCGCCGTTTTTCTTCGGCACCTCTCTTCTTGCACGCCAGTGCTCCACGGATGTCTTGTGACCATTACAAGTGTCCGTGCTGCACCAACAGCTTATTGACACACTCAACATGAGACAACTCTGGGTCCATCTCTACAAGCCGGGCTCTCAATTCTTTTCTTTCATCAAGGTAGGTTGTACTCTGCAACAAGAATTTGTGGGCCTGGAGCTGCCACTGTGGATACTTCTCACACATTTCGAGCTCCTCTTGAAGGTCAGCCACATCAGCCCCCCCACTCAAAGTCTCGGATTCTCAGCATGTTGAAGAAAGGCGGCTGCATTCGGAATGCCAGCGTGTAACCAAGGTAAAAGATTCCCATTCCGTGAAATGACCATATCCAGCTCTCCTCAAGATAATCCAGTGGGCCAAGCACCTTGCCCCAAAGAACGGGCCAAATACGGAGTGTTGAACAACAAAGAGCAACGCAGAAAAGAGAGGCGTCGCTAAAAAGTATTAGTGCCAGCTTTAGATAGCATTGCGGTCTTTCACCCTGCTCCACCAGTCTGGCCACATACGGGTACTTATTTTTGACGACCACAGGCACTATGCCAAGGGGAGATAGAGCTAGGGTGAAGGTGGCTAGCTTCACCAAACCCATCAAGCCCACAGACCATTCCAACTCCAGTGACAATTGCAAAAGCCTGCGAAACAATGGACCCATTGTAATTGGGCCCACGATGACCATCAGTGACAATACCCAGAGTTGTGTCAAATGCCCCCGTAAGAGTTGGGACAAGCTCAGCATCTCACCAAAATGCAGTTGCGGTGGGTCAGCTACTGGTTGGTCTCTGTCACCGTGCAAACCAACCGTCAGCAGAGACCCGGACGGGTGTCCGGGCATGGTACTCTTCACCACTCTGAACGGAACGTCGTATGTGATAGCGTACAAATAGTCGCCATGCACGATTGACAGCATAAGGTTTCCAAGCTTGCTGTGAGTCACTAGAAGGAGGAGGAATGGCGGCAGCATAATCACAAGAACATTCACTGCATCCAACATGTAGTAGCAAGTACCCTCAGAGCTCTTGGAAACAAAAACTCCAACTGCACCTGCAGCCCAAACAATTCCAGCGCAGCATGCTATAGCCTGGAAGCACCAGGACGCTATTCCTATCTTGAGGGTAAGTCTTTCATGCATGGTTGCTGACAACAAAGCCCAGTCGTGCAGAGTTTTGAGGAGACACCACATGATGACACCTGTAAGGTAAACCCAGCGCGAACAACCCTCTGCCAAGTGATTGTGAATCCGCGCGGGCTTGCCCTGACAAAAGTCTTGCGTGACACTCCCTGAACTCGGAAATGCCTCCTTCTTTGTCACAGCAGCACTCAGTACAGCAGGAATACACGAGTAGGCAAAGGGGGCAATAGTAGAGGGCGAAATCGAGGGGGGAACGGCTTGAACCTTGCCTCCGTTCCGAATGGCCACGTAATGTGGCAGCCAGTGTGGCAGCCAAGAGCTCCAATGAATCTGCTGCTTGATGGTGCCATGACTCTGCTCGATGGTCCAACCCGTCGTTGCAGGTAGATCGGCAACCCCAAAGTACCGGATGAAGGTGCATGCTGCCTCATCAGAGCAAGGGACAAAATCAGAATTGTCCATCTTCCGAGTAATTACAACCACAAATGGGTATGCGCCAAGAAGAGCAATCGCCAAGCACTGTATGTACACAAAGATGCAGCTGAAGCTGCAGCTCCTGCTGCTGCTGCTGCTGCCTGCTTGTGGCCGTGACATCAATGAAGGTAAGCAATCGGAGTGGACTATCAGGAACTCAAGAAACTGGGTGAGTCTTCACCAACTGGGTTTGAGCCAAAATATGACATGAGGTGCACTATGTGCAGGACATTTATGGAAATATAATATGAATACCTGCATTGCGAGGATTCCACTGCCAGCCGATTTGGGACTCGTTCAGAGGGAGACAGGCCATCATCCTGGGCCCCGGCTGTGTGCAGGAAGCGCAGGCCCAAAAGCAAATGTCGCATCATCCATTCTCAGTGGCCACTTCGCAGAATCGTGCCAAATCCCGGTCAAACTTAAGCCTCATCCAACCGAAATGCATTTTTCGGGGTCTGAGGGCGGCCTAGCAATAAATGCGCAGTGTGTGCAATAAGATTGCTTTCCATGCGCTCTAAGAAGAGAATCTTACCAACACTCTCCCGGTAGCGCTTCACAGTTGAACTGACGGTGCAAGCAATATCTTTGTGACTTCAAAAAGTTGAAGAACATTGGACTGAGCGTCCCTTAGTCACTAGTCACTGCAAGACCTTGAGTACAGTGTTGCTAGAAATGTTTGTCACTGTTGCTACTTGAGCAGCTTGGCAAAAGAGGCTGGGCGGACAACAGGTCTTTGACTCGAATCACGCCGGGACAAAGGTCAATCGATCATCACACGTGCATCGTGCACCTTCAAGTTGTGGCGCTGGATGATGCTGTCGCTCATGACTAGCTCATGACTCATATCATATCAGGTAATTAATTATACGTGATGAAATATGAACTGCTGGGGGCCGCTGGAGGCCTATGATCAGTCGCTACCAGTGCCCTGCTGACCTACCCGACCGCCCAGGTTGACCGACCATACAAGTCACAGTTGAGCACAAAGCTGCTGACTTGTGCCAATAATTTGTACGAGCAAGCTTGGTTGTTAATGTCTTTCCTGGCCACGGATTGGTCACCTCTGCTGTGTGACATCACGTAACATCTAATCTAAACAAAGGTGACATATATGAGCCAAGTTTCCGGGTGGCCGTCTTTTTCGATGTGAACCACAAAAGGCAAGGGTTCTTTGACCGATCAAAGTGTAGCTTCTCAGAGTCTTAGTTACTAGTTCCCACCAATCCTACACAGCAGGTCGGCCATTGCTAGCTGGGTACCCAAGCCTTGTGCGCTTTTTCTCACGCAGCCGTCGTCTTCCGGCTAGCCAGAGAAGTCTGCCACTCGGCCGAGGCTCTCGCGTAAATCTTTCCTCGGTTTGGATGGCCATCGAAATGCCCAGCGGGTCGGGGACATCGAAACGTGCAAAAGCAGCGAGACCGGTGGAAGACAATGGCCCGGGGACTTCTACCAGTGAGGGTAATGCCTTAGTTCATCCGGTAAAGCAGGTCTTTCTGATACAGCACCACTACATCAAGAACCTGATCACAAGCCGGTGGCAAAGAAATCCAGGTCGAACTGGCCACTGGTTGCCCCAAACATGTTGTTGCCTCCTTGGGCTGAGCCGGGAAGTAGTTCTAGGAGCTCAGGGAAGGATTCGGATTTCCCCTCCATAACTGGCGGCCCTTGGCCAACCGGGTTAGTGAATTTCTCGCCTTGGCCCGGGCCTTGCCTTCACCCAAAAGAAAGAACACAAACAACATGCTAACATGATAAAATGAAATAGTATGTTTGTTTTCTTTCTGAACCCAAAGGAATAACTTATATAACTACTGTGCTTTATGTACAGGTGGAGCACACAATGAGTTCCTACAGGTCCTGCAGCATGATGCAGCATGTATATAGACGTCCACAGTACAGGGGTTCATTCGTACGACAATAACCGCTCAAACGTGATCTGCCCTCGCAACCCACCTGAGATCCCGAGCAACAGCGTATTCTCGCCAAAGTTCTGGCGAGACCGGTGGACAGAAATGGTTAGTCACGGTTAGTCATTGGTTACTGAAAGACCCATGTGGGCAGGGTATGCAATCATCATCAGAATGGTGAGAATGGTGGTTTTGCCATTTTTTTGACCAGGCAGGACACTTGAGGAATAGTCGTCAAACCGTCTCGAATCTTGTGTGCAGCCCTAAATATGGACACATGGCCATATCAACATTGAAACGTCCATTGTCAAACATTTCTCCAGCTCTACATGCACCCGGTTCACGCCACACAGCTCTATACAGCTCGCCACTTTTAAAGCAAAAGCTGAGTCCCCACGGCCAACCTTCCATGAGGGCGCAAAACAACGACATGACTTGACGCGACTTTCAGCCGCGTCGAATCCGATCCAACTCCAATCTGCCAACGTGGCACTGATCATCGTTCAATTCATGCACAACAGCGCCATGTCATCCGACGTATGAACGTTCCGTGCCGTGAGGCAGTGGGCGAGCTGTCCCACTTCTCACCAAACCTATTTCACCGGAACTATCGTCATTGAACGATCACCATCTTGTCACGCTCAAAGCTCAAGGCGAAAGGACGGCTGGCACTCCTGCGATTTTCCGGGAGAGCCAGGAAATGAGGGTGAATGCTGAGGACTTTAATTGATCTTGATGTGTCCTTAACCAAACTTGTGTGATTTGGCGATTCGATCAAAACATCCATGTGCGAAAGTTGAAGATACCCTTCTTTTGTCGAAAGCATCCAAAAGCTGCATGGGTTGGAGCGCATATCCGGCTAAATTGTAGCAAAACAGCTGTTGAATGTGACTGTTCGAAACACAAAACGGACAATTGGACTCCTCTCTCGAAGAACCACAAGAAGAGCCAAATGTGTTGCACGGGGCCTGCTGTTGTCTTTTAATACCATCCTCCTCCCTCTGATCGCAAGGCTTCGCATCTCCCCCCCTCCCGTTCTCCCATGCATCTGGCGACTGCCGGCAATGGGAATGGTAGGCGCCCAGGAAGATGGACAAGGCGGGCAAAACGAAGATGAAGACCTCCAGGACCTGACCCCATTGATGTAACGGGCAGGTGGAATACGCTTATTATATATACATATCATATACCTAGACCCCGCAAAAGACGTATTTGTTTCTGGTGAGGGCAATTTTCAGGCGAAGCTCAAAAAACCCACACAACAAACAGTTTTGGTGTCGCTTTTTGTTACTTCTGCATTGTTTTTTGTCACTTCTGCGTCATTTTGGCGTCATGTTTTCTATCGCGAATTTGCTGCATGTTTCTGCGTCATGTTTTCTGGCGAGACGGAAAAAAAGACATCGTTTCAGGGTCCAGGTATCTACTGTATATACATAATAATACATAATACTTATGAGATTGAGGATGATGAACGGGCATGCCCTTGAGTTTCTTCTGTTTCTTCGTGCCCTTGAGTTGGCCCAACACTTTGTGATTTTATCTCCTGACAAGATGATGGCTCCAATACTTCAAGCATTTGACTCACTCTCACGATGAACTCCAATCATCGCCTCCGAGTCGAGCCACGGACCGACCATCGCCCACCCTCCGACGCTCCCACGCTCGCACCTTGGCCCGGAGGTGGTGTTGCGGATACTTCGTGGGGTTGTGGCGCACCCGATAATCACTCAGAAGCCCTGCCTGTGCTGGTGGACGTGCCCAACGTGCGCTTGCAGAAGTCCACAGGGGACGAAGAGGAACACACTGTGTGATAACGGTGTTCTGTGGTTGAGAAGTAGACATCTGATTTTTCAGCAAGGAAACACAATCACATGAAATCACATGGCACCTTCTCTTCCTCCTCGCAAATGTACCAGCCACCATCTGTATATGTGCCATCGTCGTTGACAGCATTTGACAACTGATACCTCAAAAGGCAAGGCGAAACAAAGTGGCAAACAATCGAATTATGCCCACTACAGTCAGTCACTAAGCTGAATGCTTTCTGCAACTTCCCATGACCTGTTCTATACATATAGTTTTAATATAGTTATATAGTACATTATTATAAAATATTAATCAATGATCACCTCACAAAACACAGCAGAATTTGCCTGGTTCTTCGCGTCCTACGCATGACAAGGAGACCTAATTAAGTCTATCATGTCTGATAGAGCGGATCCAGCTTCAACGCCCACTTCAAAAAGAAAGATGTGGTCTGACATGGACCAGACTGCCCCTAACATAGACATAGACCCACATGCATCATGCAACAACATAGGCACTCAATCCAACACACTGCGCCATAGCCATTTGTGATCAAAGCTGCTCTGGGTACAAGTACTTAATCTCTCCGTAGCCCTCAGGCAGGCCCTCCAAGCTGACTCCGCTGACTCTCCAACAACACCGACGATAACACCGATTTGTAAAAGTACGGGTTTGATCGGGGCTCCCGTCTCTGCCTGTACTATGGTAAGCACTATGGAGAACTTTGACACCATGAATTGTCCAAATCTTTTCTGCTTTTCCCTTCTTCAACGATCCATGCGGGTGTGTTTTATGTCAACGTAAACTTCAAACATACGTTCAATATCTTTCAATGTATGTAAAATGTACACCAGCAAGTTCAGCAGGAACCAATGAGATATGGTGTCATTCGGGGTACCCATGGAATGTTTACCCAACATGCAAACCACAAATGAAGTTTGCATCCAAGCTCCCATGAAGGAACTCGCTTCGACAATGTTGCCAATCAGTGAATCACCAACCAGGAAAGGACACACACGAAAATTTGCCGTGGACAAATCTGGACAGCGCAAATATGCACATATATGCACATATCGTGATCAGCAACTGCTCCTTGATCAAGAGATTCGCCATTCGATTGACCAAAGGATCATTGAACACGCCGCCCACCTGGCAGTCGAAAACCCCAACGAGCACAAACGGAGACAGTCAAGTCTTCGATGCGAAAACACCGCCGAGCTGAGATTTCCGAGCCAAAAACCTATCCGTCGTCCGTATACTCATGATGAATCTATTGTTATATGTCATATGAAATACACGGAGTAATACCATAGTAGCCATGAGTAGCCTTGAGTGAATCTTTAGGTTAAAAGTCTCACCGTCTCCAGTGGAAATCCGTATTGGTGATACGCATCTGCACAATGCCAAACAATCAGCAACCGTCACTCTGGACCTTCACAACCTGGTTACCAACCGACCAACGAAGGCGGAACCAGCGCTGGCTGTCCACCTCTGCAATGAAGGTAAAGGCCAGGGAGTTCATCACGATGTCCTCAGAGCCGTGCAGCGGTTCCGGAGCGGAACCGGCCGGAAGCGCTGGTGGAGGAGGGCGGTTCCGTGGGGGCGCCGGTTGCGGGGCGCCGGTTGCGGTTGGTGGTTAGGTCAGAAATGAGAAGTCCCTGCAGAGAAGATGCCTTTGGTGGTCAAGGATGGTGCTTTGGGAACAAACCTCAGTGCCATGGCCAACAGCTGTGGGCAGTATTGAAGCCACAAACTTGAACAAAGTCCGGGTGACAAGTCCCGGGCGTTGGGGAACGGTCTCAAGTCCAGGGGGTCATCAGCAATTGGCAATCAATGAAAACTTCTTTCATCCTGACCCTGATGTTCTTCCTTGACTAAACATTAAAAAGTGAGTCCACTTTATGTTGAGAGATGTGCTGCTTCTTGAGACTGCTCCTCTATCTCCCCTTGCATGCAAGGTTGGTTGCGACACCCTCAAGCACAACACGTTCGACCCACTCCCCTGCTTTGGCGACAACAAAAGTTCACATGGCACTTCATTTCAGGAATCTCTTTCAGCTCGTCTAGTCGCCTATGAGAAGCAGCATAGCAAGCACTCTGTCTTTTTCACTGCACCAAGCTTCGAACGGCTCGTCAAAGGCACAAATCACCAAGAACGAGACCTGGGAGGCACGTCCATCGGCGCATCAGGCAAGAGTGGTCGGATCCGTGGCATGGTCAGTGGCACGTCCATCGCCGCACAGGTGTGTGGTTCACTGGTCTGTCCTGTAGCCTTCACATGTATGTGATCGTTGGGCACTTGGCATCAACCCAAAAAGGATTTGATCTTCGCCAATAAAGGGGCTGGTGCTCTTCTGCGGCAACGAAAAACCAAGTGGTTGAGGCACCCAGCACATCCAAGCAAGAATCCAAAAAATAGTGGTAAAGGAAAAATAACAGGGTACCAATGCTCGTCTGTATTCGTCTGCACACCCGGTGTTTAGTGGTGTTCACAATTACTTGGAGAAGCAAAGCTCTCTAGTGGAGGTAAGCGTCTTCTGGACCATGATCCATACCCCGCTCAGCTGGAGAAAGGACACAGATTGTTATTGTTGGCCTCACGATGACTGAAACGAGGTGCACCTTCTAAGATTATTTGCTGCTGGTCAAACAGTTGCAGGCAAGGAGCAATGGTGATGCACTGCAACACGACATACCTGGCTGCAAGCACACAACACTCCGTAGTTAGCTTTTTTATCTTAGTGTAACCATATACCGTTCCCCAAGAAGAAGCCATAACACCATAACACAAAAATATTGGTATCCAATAACTTCTGACCAGTTGATTGAATGACAGGTGGGGCCCTCTATTCTGGAGGTCTTGTTCTGCAATACTTCTGGTTTCTGCTACAAGCTATCAGCAGTTGTATATATAATACAGTAGGTTCATGGCAACAAGAACCGAAGTTGACTGGATTGCTGTCTCCATGGACCGGATCGTTGTTCCCCTTCGGAAATCTGGAGGGACCCGCTCCCCAGGCCTTTTGTTTGCCCATCCTGTTCTCCTCGTCAACCAGAACTGCAGCAATGAAAAGTGATTTCGCTGGAGCATGTTTCGGGTTAAACGCGCACCCTGCTGAAGTTGGACCCTGTTGCACAATGCTCCCGCTGTATGTAACATACAAAGAGGCGAAAGGCATTTCGGAAGCATGCCGCTATTTCAAGCAACAAACAAGACCCCAATGTTGCTCGGCAAGTCGTCAGAAGCATTTCAATGTTTCAGAGAAGACTAAGGAGA